CCTCCTCCATGCACCTGCCCCGCCTCCAGCCTCCGCCCCTCCAACAGATGCCCCAGCAGCCGCCCGCTCAGCCGGTCACCATCCTGCAGCAGCCCCCGCCCCTCCAGGCCATGCAGCAGCCTCCCCTGCAGCAGAAAGTGCGCCTCAACCTCCAGCAGCCCCCGCCTCCTCTGCAGATCAAGATCCTGCCTCCGCCGGGCTTGCAGATCCAGCCCATTGCCCTGCAGACAGAAGAAAGCAGCCCGGAGAGACCCAGTGCCGAGATCCAGACTTCTCCGGAGCCCGTGGATGTCGTTCCAGAGGTAAGAGGGAACTGCCTTCGCGGGGTGTGTGTGTGTGTGCAATGCTTCCAAAGTCTTCCTGCTTGGTTATACGTAAAGAGAATCCGCCCCACAAAACCTCTTCTTTTAGTGGCACAGCCCACACTGGGTGTTAAAGAAAGCCTCTTCCCGGTCCACAGCCTCTCATCTATAGGATGGATGCCTTCCAAGAAGCACTTCCCACCGCATAGGGTCATAGAATCATGGAGTTGGAAGGGACCCCATATGATCTGTCCCTCTGCTCCATGCAGGAATAATTCAGAGGATATCTGCCAGGAGGTAGTATAAATTTCTCTTGAATGCCTCCAGTGTTGGCACACCCACCACTTCTCTAGGTCATGTTTTCCATTGTCGTACTGCTCTAACAGTTACAAAGCTTTTCCTGTTACTCAACTGAAATCGGGCTTCCTGTCCCTTGAGCCCATTGATGCCTGTCCTGCACTCTGGGGTGATCATGGATAGATTCTACCCCTCCAATGTATGACAGTCTTTCAAATATTTGAAGAGTGTTATCCTATCTCTCCTCGTTCTTCTTTTATCCATGCTAAACGCGTCCAGTTCTATCAGCCTTTCCTCCTAGGGCTTGGTTCCCAGTCCCGTAATCCTCCTTGTTGCCCTCCTCTGGACTCGCTCCAGTTTGTTGGCATCCTTCTTGAAGTACGTTGTCTTGAAGTAACCACTTTGTGAATTTCCTGTCCCAGGTGGAGTCGCCAACACCAATGCATGTGGAGCTGGTGTCCGAATCGCCGGTGGCAGCGTCGCCCCGGCCACGCTGCATCCGGGCAGGCTGCGAGAACCCGCCGGTGGCCAACAGCGACTGGGACAATGAATACTGCAGCAACGAGTGTGTGGTGAAACACTGCAGGTGCGTGAACGAAGCCCGCCGGCCCGTGTGTCGCATTGGGTATCTGGCCAGCTACATCCTAATGTGGGAGGCATGGGGAAGCCAGCCACTTAAACAGCTGCTGTAAAGTGCCTGACCGTGTCCACAACATGTCTTAACAACATATGGCTTCACCTTTTTGAGCTTTCCTAAGGAAGTCTTGGTTTCAAGGGGTTTTGGTCCCCTTGCTTATGATGAGCTGCAGTCGGCGTAGTCTCACTCTCACGCTGGAGGCAAAAACTCTCTTAGGCGGGTTGCCTGGCTTCTCAGCAGGCGATCTTCATGGGAAATGGATCATGTTTCCTTTCCCTAATCATGTCCAAACCACGAGTGCCAAAGAAAGGCGTTTCCACACTTAAGGGAACATAAAGAATTGTAAAATATTTAAAAGGGGAGGTGGGGAATGCCTCATGCAGACAATGCCCAGCCCACCTTCCCCATCTCTGATGGCTTCACAAGCAGTTATGAAATACTCTGAACTGGAAAAGAACAGAAAGTAGCAGAAAGAATGGAAAGCCCATCTTTGACACATTAGGAGCAGAAAAGCACCTACATCGTTGTCGGGCCGGTGGAGATCTATTAGGCTACAGATCCGATCATCCACAGCTCTGTGGACTGGAATTGATAGGGTATGTAGTCTGACACATCCGGAGGCTAGAAGGCTTTGTTATATTAGTTGACAAAAGACCTGGCAGTCAGGCGGGAATCCTGACCAGATCTCCTTCCACTAGGAATTGAGGTCACACTGCAACATTTTGTTACAGTCTTTATAGTGGTTGGCCAGGGCATCGTGTGGGCTAAGGAGCCCCTCCTCCATTAAAGGTTTAGCCCAATATTCAAGGGTGTGTCTCTCTCCAAAGAAATAAAATCACTGCACCTAAAATCTCGCTATCTCTGACATTCCTGTTTTTTTCTTTCTCTCTCCTCTTTTCACAGGGATGTGTTCCTAGCTTGGCTGGCTTCTCGCAATCCCAGCAACAATGTTGTATTTGTGAAATAACCCCCACCCTTTGGGGGGGGTGTCCTGGGGCAGGAAATGACTGCCCCCCCTACGCACACTTTTTTCCAACGGACGACCAAAAAAAAAAGGAAGGAAAAGGATCGAGAACGGCCATGCAACTTTGGGGTGGGAAACGGTGGAGCAAAACATTGGTACATCACCTGGAGACCCTTCTGCAAGAGACAACGTCACCCCTTCTGGGTGGGGAGGGGAAGGGAAGAAGGCTTGGGTGCTGCAGACTTTATTTCCCCCCCTTATTTTTTTTTCTCCCTATACATGATCCCTTGATCTGTTTTCTTTTTTCCCTCTTCCTTGATGGCGCCGATTAAAGCTGGACGAGGGATGCCGACCAAGGGCCTGTCAGATGCTACTTGGGGTGGGGGCAGAGGAAAAGAGCCACCCTCCAATCTTGGGAGAATGTTACGTGTCGCATTTCTGCTCTGGAAGGAAGGGTGAAAACCGTTTTGGACGCCAGGGGCTCCCTGTGGGAATGAGGCACCCCGATCACTCCTCATCTCTGGAGCACCACAACATGGGTGTGCGACTGCAGTCCTGCTGCTGTTTCTGCCCAGCGCTCCCCATCGATCCCAACCAGCAGAGTTAGGGGTGGGGGTAGCAAATCTAAAAACATCTGGAGGGTGACTGCGCCCCACCTCTCTGAGTAGCCACGTTGGGCAGGTGGCCCTAAAAAATAACAGCTGGGTTTTTTTGGGGGGGGATGTAAAGGTTTAGGGAAGGTGGGGTAGGACGAGAACTCCCATCATCCCCAACCCATCAGCGAGGGGTGATGAAAATTGTGCTCTAACAAGAGCTAGAGGGCCACGTGTTCCCTTTGGCTCCAAGTGTTGCTCCTCCCTTCTCAATCCGGCATCAGACCTCCGTTGCCTGACCCTTTCGCGGAGATCTCTGGCCAGTTCCAGATCTCCACAACACAGGGGCTGCAGAGGCTGGGGTGCAGGCAGTGTGAGATTTCAAGCACAGAACCATAAGAAAACTGCAACTATCCTCCGCATCATGCAGGTGGGACCAGGAGGGAAAACTTGTTCGGCCCTGGCTGTGCCCAGGGGCTGTTTTGCAACTGGACTAGTTAGGTGTCTGGGGCGGAAACAAACACACAAACATGGTTTTCTGGTTCTTGGCTATACACCAGTGCCAGCGGTGGGCTCATCGGCCCCTCTGCAGCATGGAAAACTGGCTCAGGGTGCTTTCACAGCCCTTCAAAAGCAGATTTTTTTTTAATAAAGAGGGAAGAGGAATTATGGGAGAGGTGGCGCTCTGAGTTGCTTTGTGTCTTAGGTTGCTGAGCCTTCGAATCGCCCACTAGACACCCGCCCGCCGGGTTCTGCGCCACCAGAAGTGGGAAGGCAGGAGAGCAGCTTCTCTCCACCTTGTGTGGAATCACATCCTCTTCTGCCCAGGTGACTAGAGAAAGGAGAATTCAAAAGGGCCCAGATGCCATGCTTGCTTTTCAAGGGGGCATCACTCAAACCACCACCACCCGGCGTGCATTTGGCATCTACCTATTTTATAAACATCGTTTAAATACCATAGATGCCTGGCAGGGCAGACGATGGACCTGTAGCCCCCTCAGTGTCCATGAACAACTCTCCCCATCGTCCCTCATCACTGGCCATGTGGATAAGGGGAGCTGGAGGCCCGCAAGGTCTTCCTACCCATCTAGAAAGGTACAGCCATCACTGATGGACAGAAAGAAACCTGGGCAACAGATCTGGGTCTATCCATCTTCTGTTGCTAGCCTCAAAGGGAGTAAGGCCAGAAAACGGATGAGAAGCGCATGCTGACTTAGTATCTTTTAGGTGCCATCCTCTGCTGTACCAGCTCAGTGATGGGAGCTGTAGTTTCACTCAGAAGGAAGAGTGCCAGGGTGGATGAATGCATGTCTCTGCCTCTAGCAGACAGGTGTGCCTGTGACATAAGGAGTCCTGCTCTGATCTTGTTGGGAAGGAACATCTCCTGTTACACCGGAGACCAGAATGGAAAAATGGGTGTACCAAGGAGCAAAGGAGATGCATGCGGGCCTGCAGCCACCTCGCAAGGAACCACTCCCAACAGAAGTTTAACTTCCTTTAGCAGGAAGTGTTCTTGCTCCTACTTCTTCCTCTCTCGCTTATGCGGAAAAGAATCCATTTTATTTTTTAAAAAATCCTAAAGATTGGAATACACGTCCGACGTCTTCTCTCGTCGCCAATGCAAGAAACAGGCCTTGATCCCTTCCGTGGGGTTTTGCTCCACCCCGCGTCTGTCCCTAGCTACATGTTTTTAGGCTTGGAGATGATTCCATCTGGGTAACGCTGCTTGAACTGGGCGACCACATCTGGGTCCAGCAAGTGGATTCCGTCCAGCTGATTGCCGAGGGTAATCCTAAGGAATAGAAAGGGTGATGAGAGAAGGCGGCTTTTCAGCGGCAAAGGTGGAGGGAGGGAGTCGACGGCCATGGGGGTGGGAAGCTGGGGGTCTCACCAGTTCGGCTGAACGTTGTGGGGCCGCCCGAAGAGCTCAATCTTCCGGGTTCCCGGAGAGAGCCGTTCGATCATGCCGTAAATCTCGTCCGGCTTGTGGCTGGTGGAACGGACCTGCGGGACAAGGACACAAATGGGAATTGGGTTCGGTGGAGGTCAGGCATGTCGGCAACCTGCCCACCTCTTCCGGACCATAAAGGGAGCGGGCCGCAGGTGTCCTACCTCCGCCACAATGACATCGCAGTCAAGACCCCGATTGAAGCCTTGGGGGTTTCCCTTTACGCCAACCTGCCCGGGAGGGAGGGAAAAATACGCCACAATGACATCGCAGTCAAGACCCCGGTTGAAGCCTTGGGGGTTTCCCTTCACGCCAACCTGCCCGGGAGGGGAGGGAAAAGAAATGGAAAAAGGGATGAGTCGTGATCAGGATGCCCTCAGAGCCGAGTAACGTGATGCCAGTTTAAGTGCAAAGTGCTTCCTCTCGATTCCCTTAAAAGGATCAGGATGAAGGACGCCACCTTCCCCTTTAAAATGAAACTCCTGAGTCTAAAACTAGAACAGTTTAAGTGCAAAGTGCTTCCTCTCGAGTCCCTTAAAAGGATCAGGATGAAGGACACCACCTTCCCCTTTAGAATGAAACTCCTGAGTCTAAAACTAGAAGTGCTGGATGGCTCAGCGGTTTAGGACTCTGGTTGCAGAGCCGGAGATTAGGGAGTTCAATTCCCTTCTGAGTCTCCTTGACGGGCTGGTTTTGATCCAAAGGGCCCCTTCCAGCTCTGCAGTTCAAAGATGCTGATCAAGATGCTGTCACGCCATCCCGAATACACCAGACCTGGTTTCATTTTTGCTGCTAAGCGGGGTCAGGCCTGGCTGTTACTGACATGGGAGACCCACCAAGGAAGACTGGCACTTTTCAGACAGGGCCAGGAAAGGATGCTGACTTAAACTCTGGACAGCCTCTGCTGGTGACAATACTAGGTTCAACGGGCCACGGACAGGATGACTTCGCGTAAGTCAGCTTCTGTGGTTCTAACTCTCACTATTAGCTGTTCTCTATGGATTGATTCCAGAATCTCTCTTGCTAGCACAGCAGTGGGCAGAAGCACAGCCCTCTGGATGACATTGGACCACAACTTCCATCATCCTTATCCAGTCAAGCAAAGGGTTTGGAATGCTGGGAACTGCAGTCCAATCTGCTGGAGGGCTGTGTTTGGCTCACGCGAGGTCTCTGATGATTGATCTCTGACTGAAGGGCTTCTCAGCCCATTCAGTGGTCCTGGACTAAGGTTTACTACTTCTGTGACTGCACTTTCTCCGATCATCCGGACGCTGGCCGTTTCCTGAGAAGGGGAGCGAGAGGAGAAAGGATGGAAGAGGCACAGGCTGTTTTGCTATCACCTTCAGTAATCATGAGGACTAGCACCCTACTCTTTTTCTTAAACTACAACATAAACATAAAATACATAACAACCCTACTCTTTTTTTAAAAAATGTACAGATTGAGTTCCTAGCCAATTCATCTTTAAGCGAACCATCCTGGTGAACTCTGCCTGGGGCTATCCCCAGGCCTTCATCTTGCCCTGTCTTTTCTCCCAGAGCGTCTCGCCCGCTTTCCCCCAAATTACCAGGCAGTGCTCCTTGCCATGGTTCAGCCAGTGGCCTGTGCGCCCCGTTCGGATAATGCGCTGGAGCTGGTTGGTTTTCACCCAGATGATCTCATCCACCCGCTCGTACCTTGGGGGAAGAGGGAGATGATGGGGGATCAAGAGGGAGGAAGAGCAAGGAGCAATCTTCAGAGGAGAGCTTACACAGAAACCTGCCTGCACCTAGTGCGCATGCACATACACACGCACCCACACCCTGGTACTCACCCCCACAGATTCAGACACTCTCGGCCCAGTTCCATGGCCCTGCAGGAACAAGGGAAAAGGTTGATATTAGCGGCGTGTCTGTGTGCGCGTTTGGACTACATCTCCCAGAAGGCCCCAGGCGACATGCTGCCGGTGGAATTCTGGGAGTCATAGTCCAAAGACACAGGCCTGTACAGTTCTAATTGATAGTAATGGCTCCTCCTCTACCTCCCTTACACAGGTAAGCGAAAGACAGGTTTAATTCTGGCTGCAAAGCAGGGTCAGGCCTGGCTGTTACTTAGATAGAAGACCACAAGGGAAGACCTCACCCCTCTTAATAACACCGCCCACCTTCCATCAGAGACCCCACTAACCTGGGTACCATCATCCTCATTTAATTATTATTCTGCACACTCAAAAGGGCAGTTATCAGGAAAGCCTTAACTTACTGATAAGCCTCAACCAGCCTTCCCCAGTCCAAAAGCCTCTAGACATGTTGAACTACGACGTCCCGTCATCCGCAGCCTGCATGGCTGATGAAAGTTGCCGTTTGAGATGTCTCTGAAGAGCCCCAGGTTGGAAAAGACTGAGTTCAGCAGTCAAATTGTTCCTCTTTTTCTCTCTCCCTCTGCCTCTCCCTCTACGGGTAACTCTGGAGTAATCAATTAATGTACTGCTTTATAACAAGATTCTTAGATCTTGTTATGTGCTGTAAAGTCGCCCTATGAATGGATAATGTCCAAGATGTCAGCTCTTGTAAACTCAGGCCCATGGATTCCTTTAGAGTCAGTCTATCTCGTATTTGCTCTTCCTCATTTCCTGCTGGCTTCCACCTTTCCTTGCATCCTTTTCTTTTCCAGAGAATCCTGCCTTTCCCTGACATCCCCAAAGTAGCTAGCCTCACTTTCAATATATTGGTCTCCAGAGATGAGTTTGGGCTTGATAAGATCTAGGACCCACTTGGTCATCTTTCTAGCAGTCCAGATTATCCGCAAAGCTCTCTCCTCGCGCCACATTTCAAATTAATCCATTGTTTCCTTGTCTGCTTTCTTCACTGTCCAGCTTTTGCACCCATGCACGGTGATCGGAAATACAAGAGGGTGGATGATCTTGGCTCTTGATTCTGGACCTTAATGGTCCGCAAAAACCACAAATTTAAATCCCCATCCAGATACCACGGGCTGGATAATCCTGGGCCAGATCACCTGACCTCACATATTTACCAGATTTTTAATAAAGATAATGCAACCTATGAACCATGTACTCAATGGGGATATATTCAGTTGAATAAATCACTTCACCTACATGTCTTTTCTCAGAATTATACAGATTGTTCCAGAGCCTGAAAAGGGTTCTCTCTTTTTTCGTTTGTGTTCTGGACTACAGCTCCCAGAATCCTGCAATCCGCATCACTAGCAAGAATGCTGGGAGGTGTAGTCGAGAGAGAGAGAGAGAGAAATGTCCTAAGTTCTTTCTAGCTCATTTCCACGCGGGAATCTCCCCCTCCTTCTGTCGTCCGGGGCTCCCCGCAACCTGCCTTACCGGCCAGTGACCCATAAGAACAGGAACCCCTCGTCCTGTAACACGGGGATGTTGAGGCGCCTCATCTCATCGTCCGTCAGTGTCCCATAAGGGAGTTCCATGTGGATGTCCCAGGGCGGGTCGGCCATCACCACGGCAAACTTGCCCAGGATGCTGACGTCCAGGTAACGGATGTCACAGCAAATCCACTGTCAACAAAATAAAATGGGGAACACCCTAAGCAAAGGGGGAAAACAAGGGGTTGGGAAAGTGCCAACTGCTCCGGATGTTGTGGGACTACAACTCCCATCAGGCCTAGCTAGAGATGACAGGCGTTCTGATCAAACAATTCCTAGAGCCTTGGATCCCAAACAGGGGCTCCTCCGGATGTTCCTTGGTTAAAACTCCCAGAAGAACTTCACCACTTGTTGGGCTGCCTAAGATTTCTGGGAAATGTTGTCCAAGATCATCTGGGGACCCAAGGTTGGGAGGCACTGCGACCTAGAGCAGTGGTCCCCAACCTTGGGCCTCCAGATGTTCTTGGGCTAAGCCTGGTGGGCCTCCCCCCACCCCCGAAATGGTGGACTACAGTTCCCTAACCCCACAACTGCCGGCTAAAGCCGCAATTCCGAACCAGATGTTCTTGGACGAAAACTCCCAGAAGCCTTCACCACCACCACCTGCTGGCCAGGGTTTGTGGGAGTTGAAGTCCAAGAACATCTGGAGGCCCAAGGTTGGGGACCACTGACCTAGAGGGTAACCATCTGTCCATTCTGATAAAGGGTCACACAAGGAAGTCAACAACAGATAGTTGGCTCTGAGCAAATTCCATGGAACAACTGGGTCTCAGGGATATTATTGTCTTCTATCTCACTTGTGTACAGCATATACATATGCACTTGCATATGTTTGTCTGTCTTTATATGCATCAGGACAACCAGCATAGCCTTGTTGACACTGACTGTCACAAGGTGCTCAGAGACGGATTTCACCCCAGCCCCGACATGGAGACAGCATAGACCTTCTGTGGAAAAAGCATGTACCTTATTTTTCCGTGTATAAGACTATACTTTTGTCTAAAATTTTTAGACTTAAAATTGAGAGTCATCTTATACACGGAAGTAAGCTGAGGAGAGAACAAAAACAAGCAGGGATCAAAGCAATCCTGCAGCGCTTTCACCCCTTTCCCCCTATACTTGCTAAGCCCCACTTTTTTGGATTATACATGGAAAAATATGGAGTCATGGCCTGCTCCACCTGCAGAAAGGGGCCATGTCCTTGAACTGATACAGAAACTATCTCCAGAGTTTTTGATCTGCAAAGACTTTGTTACAAGGGAAGGCTTGGTTGCTTTCTCCTACGTGAATTTCTCAAGCGAGGCGGCCCCAGCCCTCTGCCGTACAAAACGTCCCCCTTGACGCAGTACGCTCAAGACGGGCAGAGAGGGATCATCCATCAGCGCCAGCCAGGGTTACCTGTGGGGGGAAGAGGCGATCGACGCTGGGGTCTCTCCCCACCGCCTGAGGCAAGGCCAGCTCTTGTCCCGAACTCAGTTCCCGCCCGCAGGGAGCGTCAAAATCCGCGCAGGCGTCAATCTCGTAGTGGACATATTTGCAAGTGTCCATGTGGAAGCAGGTGTTGAGGAAGGAGCAGTCCCCCAGCGACTCGTCCGTGTGCTTGTTAATGATGCGTCTGGAAGAAGATACAGTTGACTTTAAGTGCCCGTGGGTTTGCTTCTTTCAATACTGGGGGGGGGGGAATAACCACTCACCTTTCTCTGGGCCCACCTCAATCTATCCCTTCATATCTATGTCCTTGATTCTGTCTGCACACCCGGCACATGGAGTGCATGGCCTTCCAAGCATCCTATGGCTCCTATTCCCATCATCTTTTACTGCTGGCTTTACTGGCTAGAAGCTGGCTGGATAGCTAGGCGGCCTGGGTATCTGGCTGCGGAGTCAAGAGGTTGAGAGTTTGAATCCTTGCTGGGCCTCCTGTGAGCAGAGCCAACCTGTGTGGTCTTGGGCAAACTGCACCGTCCCAGGGCACCCTTAGAAGGGAAGGGTCAAGCACTTCTGAGTACTCTATCTAGAAAACTCTGAAAAGGGTCACCATCGGTCAGAATGTACTCGACACTTTATGTTTATTATACTGGCTAGAGTTGGCCGGAATTGCACGCCCACAGCATCAGAGGCGGCCACAATTTTCATTAGCCACGTCTGCTATTAAGAAACACAACCACACACAAACCAAACCACTGCATGTTCCTCCCCTCTTTATCCTGTCCCCATTTCTCTTCCCTTCCAACAGCAAATTTTAGGCTCTTATGTTCTTTGGGGCAGGACTCTGTTCCCTTGTATTTTGTAAATGACTAAGTGCATTGAAGTGCAATAATAAATAATAAATCAATACACCGTGCTTAAAATGCAGAACAACCTTGCCTCTTTTTTCCTCCTGACATGATACAGATGTTTTCCATTTCCCCCCAAAGCAGAACTTCCTGGGTCTTCCTTAAACCCCTCTTTAGACCAAGGGTTCTCAATGCTAGATTCCCAGATGTTTTTGGACGGCAACTCTCAGAAGCCTTCGCCACCAGCTGTGCTGGCAAGGGCTTCTGGGAGTTGCAGTCCAAGAACATCTGGGGGCCCAGGGTTGTGAAACACTGTTTTGAACCCTCCGTCCTTCTCCGAGAAGCACAAAAAAAGAGACTCCACTGACCTGATCAAAAACTGGACGTGCAAGAGGCTTCTAATGTCCTCCTCATTCCCCCCCCCCTTCCATCTCAAAATGGACACATCAATGCTGGAAAAGGTGCAAAAACCAAAGGGATCTATATGATCAAAGTTTTTTTTAATCCCTACAGGAAAGGATAAAAACCTGAAGGTTTTTATAATCTGAAACTAAGAAAGAGAATCTTCTGCCACCAGGTGCAGCTGGACTACCATTTCCAGAATCCCTAATAATCATTGTGGCTGAGGCTCATGGGAGTTGGAGTCCGACAGCATCTAGATGGCCACAGGTTCCCGTCCATGGAGGGGAAGACTAAAAGGGAGGAGAGGAAGGACAGAGTAAAAGGCTTATTCATTTACGTATGATGCAGGGAATAAGCAAGAGAAGGCTTTCCTCACTCGCACAGAATATGAGAAATTTGGCTGCGACAGCCCCTTAAGGCAATCCTGGACTGTTCTACTCAGAAGCTTTCCTCTCCTGGAGGTTGGGAGTTCGATTCCTCGCTTGTACCTCCCGACTTGCTGAGCCAGAGGGTCCCTTCCATCTCTGCAGTTCCACGATTTTCATTATAATTACAACCATTATATAATTCTAACTTCTTCACCCAACTACAAATCACAGGATTCCCTAAGATGGAGCCATGGCGTTTAAAGGTGTAAGCACCCAGCTATAACTGTGTGCCTCAAACACACCCGAGGGCTTCTGCCTAAAACTCCCTGGAAGTGCCCTGCGCTCTTGTTACCGAAACAACCTCCGGGGGAGGGCGGGGCGGGGGGGGCTCACCGGAAGTGCAGCTTCCGGCAGGGCCGTTCCGTGTCGTTGGCCTTCATGCATTCCTCCTTGGTCCCGTAGTCGCAGAATTCCTGCACCTGAGCCCGGCCCCGGGAGCGGAACTTCTCCACAATGGACTGCTCCTTGGCGGTGGTGGTGTTCAGCAGCTCCAGGATCTCCTGGCTCACCTGGGAGGCGACGAGGAGACCACGGTCCAGATCAGTGGAGATCAAGAGGTCCGGGGAAAAGCTGAGTTTTGGAAAACGAATGGTGTGGCCAAGGTCCTAGCCCTCATGGTTCCTAGGGGGATTGCTTCTGCCTTCGCTCCTGTTGCACTTTCCTAAGGACAGGTCATTTGGGCACTTGAAATGGGCCAGAAGAGTCGTGGGCCAGGTGGAGGACCACCTGGGGACACACGGCCAACCAGAACTTGTAGGGTGACAACTCTCTCCATCCTTCCCGTTGGCTATCTTGGCTTTGGCCAAGAGGAGATGAAGTCCAGCTACATATGGCAGGCTAGAGACTCACCACCCTCTGATTCTGGTGGTTCCCCCAAATTTGCTTAGTCCCCTTCAAAAGGTCACTGTCACATCATTCAACACATTCTGGGCAACGGGTTCTCAGTCATCCATCCTGTACCTGCCACTGCTCAGTTCTCCATCCAGGAACCGGAGTCCCACTTTATATTTAAAGAAAAGGCCCACGTTTTGTTAAGGACATTTGTAGGCTTAGAGACACTGGGTTATTATAGAAACATATTTCATCCACTGGTAAGGAGCATCGGGGATCAGAAGGGACTACAGTGGTGCCTCGCTTGACGACATTAATTCGTTCCAGCGAAATTGCTGTAGAGCGAAAACGTTGTCAAACGAAATTTAAAAACCCATTGAAACGCACTGAAAACCGTTCAATGTGTTCCAATGGGCTGAATACCTGCTCGTCCAGCAACGATCCTCCATACGATAGCCATTTTCGGTGCCTGTAAAGTGAGGAATCCATCCTAGAAAACAGCGGGGGGCCATTTTCTTCAGCTGGCGGCCATTTTGAAACCCGACGATCAGCTGTTTGCTGATCGTCATCGTAAAGCAAAAATGGGTTCCCGAAGCAGGGAACCGATCATTGCACAGCGAAAAAACACCATTTAAAACAGTGGTTCTTAACCTTTGTTACTCGGATGCTTTTGAACTGCAACTCCCAGAAACCCCAGTCAGGACAGCTGGTGGTGAAGGCTTCTGGGAGTTGCAGTCCAAAACTCCTGAGTAACCCAAGGTTA